ATGTAAAAGTCTAGGCGTGAGGTGTAATTGTAAAAATAATTGGTGAAAGAATAATTTTTAGAAGTTGTCAATCTTTTGAGATGTTGCCATGAGAACTAAAAAGATAATTGCGTCTGAAATTCTTTAAAAAAAAAAAGAAGAAGAAAGAAGAAGGGAGAGGATAGCAACAAAGAAATGTCGGCATCTCCGTAAAAAAAATGTGAAAGGGATGAAAAAAATAGAGGTTATTGTTTAAATCAGAGCAAAGACAATTGTGCTTAAGTGATAAAATAAAGTGTAGTGCCCTTAGGGAATTTAAGTCACTATTATCCATATGTATCATACCTATCCCTAAACCTACACTATAACCTTGCAAAAGTCCTACATGATCTCGACTCAAAGACTCCTACATTAGTGGAGAACCACATGATAGTCAAGCATATGGCAATTTCCAGCAGCTTGAGGTACTTCTTTGTTGAGAGTGAGTGAATTTTTCTCTCTATGCCCTTTTTTGATCTACATCTATATATGGGCATCTCTCTTCATTTGGTGAGACACACTAGGGATTAGGAAATATTATGATTTCAGTTCACAATAGGTGAATATGAGTACGGTTAAAAGTTGTATGAGCTTGTGAATTGGTCTTAGTTACTTCTTCTTTGGCGAGAGTTCTCATGATTCTGGTTAAATTGTTTAGATGTTATGTTTAGTTATTTTATTTGCTCGAGGACGAGCAAAATTCTAAGTGTGGAAGAATTTGATAAGCGCATTTTACTTGATTTTTAAACATATAATTTCTTTGTAAAAATACAAAAAACTATCATATTTCTTCCATACTTTTGTCTAAATTATGCAGGAAAAGTTAAAGAAGAATTGGTCCGTGTAACGACCCGACCGGTCGTTTTGAGCCCTAGCGCGTCGTTCGGCAGTCTGAGGCCACGAGCAGCTTCATTTCAGGTGTTATGACTTGTACGCGTGGTCGGAATTGAATTTCGGGAAGTTCGGAGTTGATTTGGGAAGAGAATCCTCATTTCGAAAGCTTAAAGTTGAAAGAATGAACTACGATTGGATTTTTGAGTAAACGACCTCGGAATCGGTATCTGAAGGTTCCAGCAGGTTCGTATGATGATTTTGGACTTGGGCGTATGCCCGGTTGGGGTTTTGGATAACCCGGGAGCGTTTTGGCGCCTATTGTGGAAGTTAGCATTTTGGAAGAAATTTCTTAAGTTTGGCTTGAAGTGCATTTCAGCGTTATCGGTGTCCGTTTGGGATTCCGAGACTGGGAGTAGCTCCGTATGGTGATTCTGGAGTTGGGAGCGCGATCGGAAGTGAATTTGGAGGTCCGTAGGTCATTTTGAAGCCATTTGGCTAAAGATAGAAATTTGAAGGTTTTTGAGGAGTTTGACTGGAAGTGGACTTTTTGATATCGGGGTCGGAATCCGATTCCGGAAGTTGGAGTAGGTCCGTAATGTCAAATATGACTTGTGTGCAAAATTTAAGGTCAATCGGACATGATTTGATAGGTTTAAACGTCGAAAATAGAAGTTGGAAATTTCAAGGTTCATAAAGCTTGGATTGGAGGTCGATTGATGATTTTAGCGTTGTTTGATGTGATTTGAGGCCTCGAGCAAGTCCGTAATGTATTATGGGACTGTTTGGTATGATTGGTTTGGGTCCCGGGGGCCTCGGGTGGATTCCGGGTGGTTAACGGATCGAAAATGGAATTTTGGGAAGGCTGAAGGTTGCTGGTTGCTGGTATTTCCGCTTCTGCGGAAATGGGACCGCAGAAGCGGCCCCGCAGAAGCGAGGAAGGAACCGCAGAAGCGGTTGGGAGTGAAGGGAGCAGGGACCGCNCTCATTGAAATCCTCTGGATCGACATATGAACTTGAGCCTCCACCCTCGACACGGCGGCCGCCGACGTTGGACGACGCACCACCCTCAGCAGAGCGTACTGAGCCAGCTCCTGGGTAAAATCCTTCCACTTGGGGAGATCTCCCCGATAAAATGGCGTCAGCCATAAATATGGGCACGGGGGGCCGTCTGCGACGCCCTACTTCTATCAGCGTCCATGGCCACGCCCTTCCAAGGTTCCAGCCTCCTCCTTTTTCTCGACAACGACTCGTCCCCGTTAGAGGATTCGTCCAAACGGTGTGAAGCCGGTACTGAAGAAGCCTTCTCCCTCACGACCACGACTCGAGAGGGACCTTCTAATTGAATAGGTTGAGGACGACCCTCTCGAATAGACTCACTCAAAACAAACTGCGTGCCTGCGGCATCAACGACCTGTCGAAATGCAGGGACTGGCGCCCTCCACCTGGAAGCACCTCGACCTGTCATCACGAAGGGTCGTATTAGTAAACAAGGTCATACGGCCAACGAAGTGGTAAGGAAAACATTTACCAGAGGGGACTTTAGGGTCGTAACGCTTCACGAAGGCGGGCCAATTTCGGGTTTCCTCCGCATGAGGCAACATACGGGCTACCCAATCCCTGATATCCGCAATAGGGCGAGGTGGACGTCCCGTAGCTGCAAACGGGAATCAAATAAACTTTATAATGAATACAGATGAAAAGAAGAGTAAAACGAGTGGCGACACTTACGAGTCTCATTCCATCGCTCCGGAAACCTGGCGGAGTCAGAAACGACATGTTCTGTTTTGACGAAGAAATACTTATGCCAAAACTTGCGACTTGCCCGGTCATCTATACCAACCACCAGCCCTTTCGTACCAAGGAGCCTCAAATGCACCATGGTACCCTGTGGAAGCCAGGCGTGAACAGGTGCAAAAGGTTTGGATGGAAACGTTACACTCCGCCAACTCTGCATACTTGGTCAGGAGAAGAAGTATCTTGAGCGTATACGGCAAAAGTTGCGCCGGACAAACTTGGTAGAACCTACAGAATTCTTCCCCTAAGGGGAAGAGAGGAAGAGTATAGCCAATCATGAAAGGGTACTCATAGAAAGCGCAGTACCCAGGTCTGTGGACATCTACAAAATCTCTCCCCACCGAAACCATATCTATATGAGCGGGAATGCCATACTTCACACGAAGAGCATCGATATGAACTAGCTCCGTCTCAGAGAATACGGGGTTCGGAGTAGGAGGGGGATCTTTAAGGAAGTCACTTCGATGTAAGGGATGCCTCGGTAGCAGCTCCTCCACCGTAGGAAGGCTGTCACCCTCTTCTGCCACCGTATCTTCACCGCCAGAAGGGGGCACTGTGGACAATGAGGTGGCCTCAGGAACCTCTTTACGAGAACGACGAGACCTTGGCATAATATCGTTCAAAGGGATATCAACACAACAAGAAGAAGGAGGAAGAAGCTTCGAATGAAGAATGTAAGAAGAAGCAGAAAGGTATGAAGGAAAGCTCGGAAGAATGTCAAGAGTGGAATGGCCAAAAACTTTCGAAAAAACAAACCCTTCACCTATTTATAGGGTTGGGTGGCACCAGAATCGAAGCGGAGAGTCACAAAGTAGCGCTAAAACCGAATCATCAAGCCATCAACTCCTGCCTCTGATAAGCGCATTTTACTTGATTTTTAAACATATAATTTCTTTGTAAAAATACAAAAAATATCATATTTCTTCCATACTTTTGTCTAAATTATGCAGGAAAAGTTAAAGAAGAATTGGTCCGGGAGCGAGAAGATTATAGAGGAAAAAGTAGAAAAACAGACAAGCTAAAGCAAAGTAAAATATGGTGCTAAAGAAAGACGTTGTATAACGTGATCTGCCATGACAAAGGACAACCGACCCACAACCGGCTACAACCAACTATAACCGATCCATAACCAAAGAAGCTCATAACCAAGCATAACAAGGCACAACCAGCCATGACAAGTTCATATCCAGAAGATAATTGAAAAGTTTGTCATGGCTTGGCTATAAAATGAGGCATAAATCGTGAAATGGAGAGGGGAGGAGAGAAGAAATCAGAGAAGTGAAATATTGAGCAGAAAGCTTTTCCTTTCTCTTTGTTCTTTAGTTTTATTTCTTTTTCATCTTTTAGCCATTACTCTGGCTTCTTTTCTAGTTCCGAATAAACTGTAGTATCGAAAATTACTCTATTTCTTGTTTTTAATTAAATAGGGGGAATTATTTTCTTGAATATTTCTTTCTATTTTCTTATTTAATGGGCAAGATTATTTCCGTTGTCGGTATTGGCTCCATTATGGAGTAACTTTTCTTGTGTTGGGAGAAGGACGGATCTTAATATTTCTATATAATAGTAGATATTATTCCTCAAATTCACACACTTGAGCTAGAATTTATTTAACTTTTATCTGCTTTTACAGTTAGATGTTATTTAATTTATTAACATCTATCTATCTTGTACTACATATTAACTGTTTATTAATTCTGTAATCGAGAGAGGAGGAAGAAATAATATAGTTAAGTGTAGTATTGATAAATATTAATATTTATTGAGTAACATCTATCTCTTTTATGTTATAATTCTATCTCTTTTATGTTATAATTAATTTTACACTTATTTGTAATCGAGAGAGGCGAATAGTGTAATAATCATTTATAACAAGTAGGGTAACCGAAAGGGACTTACTAACAAGAGCGTGTTTTAGTTCAATCATATATTTCTGGTTCTTTAATATTACTAGTTTGAAGATTAATTTGTATAACCGAAAGGAGTGCAATTAATTATTCAGCTTAAGTAATAATATATATTTGTAATCGTGAGAGGCATTTATACATTTATGAGAAATAGAAATTGAAGAATAATAATTCTACTATATAGAAATATTAAGTGAAGTCAATATCCCAACACCTTTTTATTATATTTGTGAAAAATAAAATATTTTCTATTGCTCCATTCGTGCATTTTTAGTTAATTAATTTAAAACTCAACTCTTTCTGATTTTCTCAAATAGTAACTAAAACAAGAAACATCTGTAGAATAGATAAACCAATCTCTGTGGGTTCGACATCTTTCTATACTATTATTTGACAGAGTACGAGTTAAAATTTTATATACGCTAGACACTCGTCAGCCTCGAAAACATGCGTGATGATGACGCACGTGAAGATGACAGCATTTCCCGGTAAAGTATATTACCTGGTGTCTTGCCAAGCACGCCGATCTTCCCCCATTGGCCATTTCGTAACGTCACAACGGCTCAAATTTCTCCATAATAACGCACGGTGTCCGCTTCGAGGACGCACCCAGTTGCAACCCGACAAGCGGAGGGACTAACTGTGTGAGTCTAAATTTGACCTACCATGACCGACGACGAGTACGACGATTGACGGAGCCTCCTTGAATTGACGCCTTGAGGGAGACGACCCTGAGACAAGCCAGAGACTGGACGACCCTTGTAACAATGTATGGCTATTAGGGGACATTAGGAATATTCCTTCAAATATTCCTTGTATTTTGTCTTTTACAGTTTAGAAGAGTTTCTCTCTTAGTATAAAAAGAGAACAAGAACCTTGTAACGGGGATTCCGAACTCTGAGATATTACTATTAACGACTAAAAAGAAACCTCGTGATCTATCTTCTCTTTATCTATCGATCTTTCTAGAGATTATTATCCTCAGCTAAGATTTACCCCTTCATCTTTGATTGATTTGTTCAAAAAGGTTTTAGTATCTTTTGAGTCAAACAATAACAAAAAAAAATCGTTTTTACCAATATTTGTGAAGTAACTTTTTGATGTAGAGTTCTGCTCCTTGATTGATAGCGTAATAAAAATGGTATATTATTACTTATATTTATTTTATAGATTACTAATTTGACTTATTATAGATAATTATATTTATTTCTCTAAATAACGTGTAAGAATCTTTTACAACAATATTTGCACTTTTCGTTATTTTATCCTATTTTTACGATTAAAAGATTCCGGCGTTAATATTGAGGAACTCTTTTTGCCTTTCTGTTTCAATTCGCCGAAAGTAGTGAAACACGTGAGAAGGTTGAGATTCTGTGCATCTTTTAACACAGATCCAGGTGTTGGAGCAGCATTTGAGTAGCAGTAGCATTCTGGGAGCGAGTTTCCAGTCCAGGGACATTCGAGGTAGCCTTGCTGACGTCCGCAGGCCCGGAGTCCTTTCTATTTTATTCAGTTTGTTATCGTTGCACCGTAGCAGACAGTTTTATGATTCATTTCAAACCTTGTATTTAGTATTCTCTAGACGTTCGTGGGTATTGTGACACCAGTCTTGGGTAGAGGATTGTTAAACTTCCGCGTTTCTTTTAGTAAATTTTATTTGAGACTTCCGCTTTATTGTTAAACGCTTTATTATTGTTAATACTGTTGATGTTCGCTAAAAGAGGTAATTGATGATTGGCTTGCCTAACTCCTATTAGTAGGCGCCATCACGGCTCCCGAGGATGAGAAAATCCGGATCGTCACATTTTGTCCGAAATGTAGCACTCACTCAAAAAAAGGAATGTTGTACTGACATATTTGGAATAAGATTGAGTAGTTTACTTTTACTAAGTGCGCTTTAGACTGTAATCCAAAATCCCACTAATTAATTAGTACTAATGACAACTGACAACTAACTAACCACACCAAATCTAGACACATATTTATTAATCCCCGATCCACAATAAATGATCAATTTACTTTTTTATGTTGGTCTAAAATAAATGTCCATTTATATAACTAAGAAAAAATTCAATTAGTTTTTTCAAAATTACTCTTATGTATATATCCTTAAAAAGTCTTTTAATCCTCACATTAAATTATGCTGCAACATTTAATTAAGGGTAGTTTAATCACACTAACTATTTTAGTTTAGAATTTAGTATTTCCTTAATAGGGGTGCCCAAGGTAAATTTGTCACTTATTGTGGACCGGACCGGATGGAATAACAAACAACACATTCTCTTTCCTCTTTAATTTTCTTACACTAATCATATAATTTTTTTTTTTTTTTTGCATAGACATATTATTTAAAAAGTAACTATAGATAATTATGCATAATAATAGATTTAGTTATCTAAAGAAGAAAATCAATAACTAGAGAAGGATGTACCTTAGTACTCCCTCCGTTTCAATTTATGTGAATCTATTTCCTTCTTAGTCTGTGCCAAAAAGAATGACCCCTTTCCTTATTCATAGTCACACAAAATATATGTGCCTTATTTTACACCACAAGTTCAAAAGTCTTCTCTCTTTTCTTAAACTCCGTGCCCAGTTAAATAGATTCACATAAATTGAAACGGAGGGAGTATTACTTATGGATTCACGTGAATATACTAGCTTTTGCCTAGATTTTATATATGTACAGTCAAACCTCTTTATGACAGTTTCACTTATTCTGATATTTTTTTGGCTGCTATAGTGAAATAATGTTATAGAGAATATAAATATATATATATATATATATATATATATATATATATATATATATATATATATATATATAT